TTGACTGATGGTGATTTTGTTTATTCAGTTTATTATTATTATTATTATTATTATTATTATTATTATTATTATTATTATTATTAACCATTATTTCCCCCTTGCTGTTGGTTTTATGTTATTTTACTACTTGTGTTTTAAAGTGCTTTTTAGGATTTTTTTTAAAAAAAATCAGCTAAAGAAATTTATAGAATTTATATGCATGTTAGAAATAAAGAAAACGATGAAATAAAGACATAATTTACCTGTGGCCAAATAAATTATATGAAAAAGCATTTCTTTTCCTTGTACCACATCCACAACCACATGGGAAAAGCGGCTATTGTCCTCCATGAAGTAAGGAACTGGTGTGATAGGTTGGATCACTTCATGCATCAAAATAAACTTTTGGGCATCTTGGAGATTCCTCTCTGTCAGGTTCAAATACAGGCCTTGATCCATGGTGCCACACTGAAAATGTATACATGTTTACATTAATTCAAGATTTTAAGAACTTAAGACATATAGTAAATAGTGCATATATTTTGAGATCCCAAATTATAAAAATCTAAAGGCTAATTCTTATAATAAGCTGTGCACAACTGACTGGTCATCCAGATATATAATATACTTCAATCTTTTTCCTCATTAGCAGATTATCCATATATATGTTTCCACACATGCAAATATGTTGCAATGAAGATATCTCAAAAAAGAAACAACAGATAAGTGATGTTTTGATCCTTATACGCCCATATCACAAGCAAGAAATACATAGCATACAACTCTCCAGATTGTGTTCGTTTGCTGTCCCTCCTGGATAGGACCAGCAAGACTTGGAACTCAAAATCACAATGGCACCTCTGCCACAGCTGTAATTATAATTATAAAAGGAGCCTCAGGTTCTGTCAGAAAAGGAATGGCAGAGCCTGTGGATAGTCAAAAAAGAAATCAGCTTAGAGCAGTCATGGCTAACCTTTTTGTCATAGCGTGCCAAAAGCTGGGGGAGTGCGCGTGTATGTCTACACCCATAATTCTATGTGCCTTCCCCCTGCACATGCGCGTGTGACACCAACCCCCTAGGGTCACGCACGCGGGAACGAACTTCCGGGTTGCCTGTAGGGCCGTTTGTCCCCTTACGGAGGCTTCAGGGAAAATGAAGGCCAAAATCAGCTGGCCAGCACGTACATGCACACTGGAGCTGACAGGGCGACGCCTCATGTGCCCTAAGAAATGGCTGCGCGTGCCACCTGAGACACATGTGCCATAGGTTTGCCATCACGGGCCTAGAGTCTCTAAGTAGCCACAAATGGACTAAGTCATCATGCTCTCTTGAATTCTGTTGAGCCTTATCTAGCTCCACAACAGTGCTATTGGCAGAGTAGATTCCTGTACTTTGGCATGAGTAGTAATAGATCAGTTTAATTGGAACTTCACATGTGGTCTTGTTATTTCATGCCTGACAGGCTCTGTTTTTCTGTGAGGGCTTTGGTATGATTCTACTTTTCCCAAGGAAACTTCTCCCCAAGAATTAGGTTATCACAATTATAATTAAGCTAACTGCGATATTTTAGCCCTCAAGCTCAAGGAGGCGTGTAGATCCAACTTTGTTTCTGGAAGCCAAGATGGCATTGTGAGAAGTTTTTCTTTTGCTCAAGTTTACTTGGTGCTCTAGTTCTATCTCCTGGAGATAACTAATCTGACAACAGTGATACTTAATCCTTTCTTGGCAAATTAATATAGCACACATTACAGAAACCGCCCTCACAGTGTGTTTTTCAACTATAGTTGCTGTAAAATTCTTAACCACATTGCTTATTGGTGCCACAATTTATACATCATCCTAATACCTGTTCTAATAATATGCACAAGTTTTCAGTTTGTTTGTAGTCCAATTTAAAAAGTTTATTCTTCCTATTAAACCATAAACAATTTAGGACCAGAAAAATGAAAGCTCATTTCCTCATACTGTATTCAGTTTTCAGTTTATGTGTAGGGTAGTAGTGGTACGCATCGGTACGGGTATAGTGGTATGCATCGGTACGGGCAGGCGGTACATATCGGTACGGGCATACCGGTGCCTGCCCAGAGCACCGGGTACCGTTCCGGTTCAGTGCTCCGGAGGGCACACCCGCCCGCCCGAGCTCCTTACCTGTATTTGAGCTCTTCGGCACTTCTGCACACGTGCACGGAGTGCACAGCGCATGCGCAACACTCCACCAATCAGCATCAAGGAGACATCACAAGAGATAATGACATATGCACTGCACGCATTCATGTGGTGGACGCTGGACCTCATTGCAACCGTACTGGTTGCAACGGGATACAGAAACCACCTCTGGTGTAGGGTCATATCTAAGAACAAAAAAGAATCTAGGCCAGTGTTGGCAAACCTCTTCGGCACTGCTGAAACAGGAGCGTGTGCATGCCACAAACCGGAAGACCAGCCGCCCGGTGTGCATGTGCGCACCGGGAAGATGATCTTCTGGTTTCCAGCATGAGCATGCGCACTGGCCACCTATTCTTCCAGATTCCGGAGCTCCTGTGCGCTTGAAGACCAGCTGGCCGGCACGCCGGAACCCAGAAGAGCAACGGGCAATGGCTTGCGTGTCCGGAGAGATGGCTCTGCATTTCTCTTCCAGCACGCATGTCATAGGTTCGCCATCCTGGATCTAGGCAATGGAAATACAGAATGATGAGTTTTTAGGAGCAGCAGAATGTGGAATTCACTCCCTATGTACAATAGGCTGGATAGATTAATCCAAACAGTCTTAGCTTCCAGAAGAAACCAAAAATATCCCTGCTCACAACACAATATGTTGCTCTCCCAATGTTAATCAGCTTGCAACTTATATCATCCTTACCATGGATTTAAAGCTGTCAGTTAAATGTTAAACTCAGGATATTTGGAGGCTTTATTATTTTTACCATGTTTATTTATTTCTCTATTGATCCCTCGCTATTATAAATATTTTAACTTCCTAAACTGTAAATGCAATTTGATGAACATGCATACATTAAGAGCACCTGTTGATTTTCAACTACCTGAAAATTAGGATTAGGGTTGGGATAAGGAAGCCAGGCAGAACGAGAGTTTTCTTGGTATTTGAATGACCCACTAAAGACATGAGTTATTGCAGTCATGTTAAACACACAAACAGCTGAAACGGCTACACTGTTCCTTTAAAAAAAAGAGAGAGAGAGAAAACAAATTATTTTATATAGCCAGTGAAAATTTTCTATAACACTTATACTTCTTTGCATCTCAGCTCAGAATAGATATTAAGTATGGATCATGGTTAAAGTTAGAATTTCCTAGAATGATAGTCCTGTACGATCTGGAGCAACATCTCTGGAGGCACCAAGTTGAGCAAGGTTTCTTTATAATTTAACATTATTTTATAATTAACGATCTCATGATACCTGAGACTATATATCAATTATACATTATGCAGTTACCATTCAGTACATATCACATCGTATTTTGTTGTGAACTCTACAATAAAAGTCTCCAACATTGTAACCCTTTCCTAAATTAGTTTAGCTTTTTTAAAATTACTGTGATACTGCCACATTAACGAGAATACAACATGTAGATACTTATTCCTTGAAGAATAAACCAATTACCAGTTGATTAGTTGAGGTAGCTAAACAGAAAAGTGGAGATCTAAAATCTTGCTACACATACTTTGGCAAGAAACAAAACCCATCATCATGAAAATAAGCAAGGATAAACACTCTTCTGTTTAAAACATCAAATATTTTGTTACAACAATCATTAATATATGCAAGCAGTAAGAATTGTATCTTTCATTCTCAAATTATTTGCAAATTACCTAGGGTCAGCCTTTCCCAATCTTGATAGCCTCCAGATGTGCAAGCTTCAGTTCCCCAAATTCTTAGCAACAACCATGCTGGCTGGGGAATTCTAGAAGCCCACACATCTGGAAGTTGCTCATGCTGGAAACTGAGTACATGTTCACAGATTCCTAGACAGCAGTATCTCTTTTGTGACAGAGAGGCTAAGTGATTCTTAAATAAATGCTTAAGTGCTAAACTACAAGTATTTAAGATCATTTCTGCTAAATGCCTAGTTACTGAAAGGGAATACACTGCACAATAGTAGGTAAGATCAGCTAAGCAAGAATTCAACACACTGAACAGCTATGAAACAAGAGCAGATGACAAGCAAATTTAGTGATAAAGGCGTACGTAGATTTAATTCAGCAGAATAGCAGGTTGAGTGAAGTTTTAGTAATATTCATAAAACCTTTAGCTAAAGTAAGGTAAAAGATATTAAATGCAGAGTTAAAGTAGCTGAGTGAAGTATTTCCATTCTTTAATTCCTGGAATGAAATAACAAAACCATTTTTTATCTTAAAGAAGGAAACAGATAAAAGCTAGTAGACTTAATAAATATTTTAATTAATTCTAGATAAAATTGCCACATGCAGTATATGCCCATAGAGAATGCACATTACTCCTAACTCGGTGCTACGCAGAGAGAACTTTGTAAAAGTAATTATTCAGATAATACACTGGGAACTCAATTCCATATTGTTTCCTAGGGAACAGTCTGTTAAAATTATTTAATTAATTCACTTGTACTCTCTCCATACAGGCATCCTGTATTATACTAACCCAAATAAGAGTCCCAGGACTGTTCCCACTTAACAGTTTCAAATACCAGCATTATTTTCCCATTAGAGTGTGCATTGTGCATGCTTTGCAGAAGCCAGATTTTATAGCTGAGGGTCCTGCATGATATCTCTAAAAATATGCAGTTAAATGTATCTGGGAGATTCCCGCCACTTACAGAGATCCAGATTTGATTTCACGCTTCTTTAGAAATTTATTCTTCTCCTCTTCGTATGCTGGAACTTTCAACTCAGTGGTGGATTTCAAAATTTTTTAGAACCTATTCTGTGGGTGTGGCCTATTTTGTGGGCGGGGCTTGACAGTCATGTGACCGGGCAGGTATGGCCAATCCAGTAGAAAGCTATCACACGTTGAGGAAAGAGCTTTGGGAGATCGGAGGAGGCAAGACAGAGGGGAATCCAGTAGAAAGCTATCACACGTTGAGGAAAGAGCTTTGGGAGATCGGAGGAGGCAAGACAGAGGGGAATCCAGTAGAAAGCTATCACACGCTGGGGAAAGAACTTTGGGAGATCGGAGGAGGCAAGACAGAGGGGAATCCAGTAGAAAGCTATCACAC